TTTTTTTTTTTTTTTTTTTTTTTTTTTTTGTATGGAGGATCAAACTCGGGACCTTGCCTCTGTGAGACAGGCGGTGGAACCACTGAGCCAAATCCCTGGCTGGGGTGGGTAATTGTTGTGGAGCACTGCCCTGGGCATCTTAGGATGTTCCTGTACCCATTAGCCAAATAACAGTTCCCCCTAGTTGTGATTTCCAAAACTGTCTCCTGACATGGCTTTTTTTGGACATTTTTGGTCTTCAGGAGCCGTCTTCTGTTAGATAACTAATTCTACCAAAAGCCTAATTTTTCTTCTAACTAATCCCATGCTGTGATGGAATAACACATAGTTAGCCATAGTGTGGTACATGTTCTGGCGGTGGCATAGCATGAAGATGATTAAAGGGAAATATTAGTACTTTTCTGCTTACCAGGCAACATCTACAGACTTAATAGAGTTAACTTTGTTCACTACAGAATGTCTACTAGAGTCCTTTTGGCTACTCTGTCCATCCCTATTACCCCTGAACGTACAGATATTGCTCGACTTCTGGATATGGATGGCATTATAGTTGAAAAACAACGTCGCCTTGCAACGCTTCTAGGTCTTCAAGCCCCACCGACACGAATTGGCCTTATCAATGATATGGTTAGTAGAAGTTTAAGCATTTATAGCTTTGGACAGAAAACTTTGGAAAGGTTTAATAATTCAGGATTAAATACTGGGAATTCTGATTCATTGTCAGGCAGTTCTGATGCATGAACAGGGATAACCATGTTATAAACAAGCACTTTGTTCATTTGAGTCAGTTCTGTCCAGTGTGATCTGGAGTTAAATTGGTGGGACCTTTGATGTATTAGGATGTGGACTGGTACAGATGGACACTCAGATTGAGGAAAAGTAACACTAGGCAAGAAGGACCATGGATTACAGTAAGTCCCTGATTTAAGAACAAGTTCCAGGGGCCGGGGATTTAGCTCAGTGGTTCGGTGGCCTGCCTTGCAAGCGCAAGGGCCCAAGTTCAATCCCTGGTACCAAGAAAAAAAAAAAAAAACAAACAAAAAAACAAAAGTTCCATTCTGAGAGAATTGTTTGTAAGTTGGATTTGTTTGTATGCCAACAAAATCAGTCTTACACAGTATACTTGTGAAAGTTCGCAACTCAAATGTTCATAAGCCCGGGACTTAACTGTGTTTTAGGGTGTTGTAGGAAACTAATCAAGTAGACATACATGTGAGAGATAAAGATGAAGCCAACAGAGAAGTTAAGACTCAATTCTGCACACCTATGGTATTACCAACTTTTTCTCTCAAACTTTTCATTTTATATTATTAAAGCAGTGGTTCTTAACAGTCATGCAGTGAAATGACTTTGTAACTGGTGCATAAGCTACTACCTGACATGGAGCATGCTTCAGAACAGATAAGAAAGCAGCTGACAGCTGTGTCTTCAGTGCTTGCAAAAGCACTTGAAGTCATCAAGACTGTTCACACTGGTGTATGCTATGGTCAGTCATCCCTTGTTTGGGGACTGATTTCAGGTCACTTACAGGTACCAAAATCCAGAGACGGGCAAGTCCCTTAACTAAAATGGCATGGGATTTGCACTGCACTTGACTTCCTGTAAATATTAAATAATTTTTGGATTACTTAAAATATCTGATAAAATAAGTACTGTCCAGATAGTTATACTTTATTGTTGATAGGCAAAAAAAGTACATGTATAGATGTGAGTTTTTTCCTTAAATATACTTTTCATCTGTAGTTGATTGACTGTACGTGTGGAACCTGAGGATAGGGAGGATCAAAGATTAAATGAACAAAACACTGTCCTGTTGATGAATATTTGAGTTTTCTCTATTTGGGCCTAATAAGAACAGTGCTGTTCTGTTGTTTGATGATTGGCATAGAAGTAAATGATTTGTAAGCTATTGGTAATAAGATAGTCTGGGTTGGTCACAGTACTTAATGTTTGCAAATAGTGTGTTAATTTTACTTAAGTTCTTGGGAGCTTTTCACTGTAGGTTGATGCATAATGTGGGACAAAAAAATTCAACAGTAAATAGTTTGGATTGTGTTCTGGTAAATTTAAAGGGGATTGGGGATAGGCAGCCTTATACTCATTTTTCAGGTTTCTAGTCCTGTACTTCATACTCAGTTTATTTTCAGTTTATACTTAATTTATCATAGTTGTACATTTTCCTTCAGTAATTTGATCTTTTTTTTGTGCTTAATGTAGGTTAGATTTAATGTGCTACAGTATGTTGTTCCAGAAGTGAAAGACCTTTATAACTGGTTGGAAGTAGAATTTAACCCTCTAAAACTCTGTGAGAGAGTCACAAAGGTAAGCTGTTGTCTTTAAGTTTTGGTAGTGTCACTGTGTGGCTGTCATTGCAATTTTGGGTTGTATCTGTCAACAGAGGTATTGTCCCGTATGTTTGGAACAGTGCACATTTCATTGTCTTTTTTCTTTATATCAAGAGAAAAGATATTTCTGATGTGCTAGACAACCTTTGAAGGTAAATTAGCAGCATGACTGATTTAGCCATCGCTGTCAGTCACCTTCAGACAAGAATTAATAGCTTTGTGATAAATTTTTAATTACCTTGCCTGTGTGTTTTTTTATGTTAAAAAAAAAATGGAAGGAATTTCAGATGTTTTAGGTCTGTTACATAGTATTCATTCTCAATTTAATGGATTTTATAGGTTCTAAGTTGGGTTAGGGAACAACCTGAAAAGGAACCAGAGTTACAGCAGTATGTGCCACAGCTGCAGAACAACACCATACTCCGCCTCCTGCAGCAGGTAAAGATACATATGAATGTTTCTGAAGAAACTGGAGCATAACTTGTTGTTTTTTGTCCTTCCTTCCTTCCTTCCTTCCTTCCTTCCTTCCTTCCTTCCTTCCTTCCTTCCTTCCCCATTGGCCCTCTATATTTTGATCACAAAATTAAAAGCTGAATAGATACAGAACTGCTGAATGAAAGCCTCCCCAAATTCTACTCCTGTCCAAATTAGTATTCTCATTTAAAAAACAGAATTATATGTAATTGCTTTTTTCTTTTTTTGCTGAATATTATCTTGGTGTGTTTTCCTTGTTAATGATGTGGGCTACTTTATTCCTTTCAGTACTGACAATGGTTTTTGTCATTTACTTTTTTTTTTTTTTTTTTTTTTTTTTGGTACGGGGATCAAACTCAGGACCTTGCACTTGTGAGGCAGATGCAGTGCCACTGAGCTAGATCGTGGCCTCTGACAGTGGTTTTTCATAGTCAAAAGGTGTAGTGCAGTGATGGTGAACCTTTGTAAAGCTTTTAACGATACAAACAGCCTGCTGCGACACATGTGCTGTAGGTTTCCTATCACTGGCATAGTGTGTTTATGCAGACTTTATTAATGAAAACCTGGTTTCTAGTTTTTTACCTCTGTTAGAAAGTACCACTACAGCATTTGAATAGCTTGCATCACGGTGTGCAGTGTAGTGGGACTTTCTATAGCATAAGAAGTGGAATTAGTTATGCAGTTTACATTAATTAAAGCTTTAGTTACTTCAAAAGACTTGATTAATAGATTTCCACCAGTAATGAATGAGACAGTCTTATCCTCTGCTACCGCTAGGTATTAGTATCTTAATATTTCATCTTTGAGTAAATTTGAAAGTTATGGTTTGTCATGGCTTTGGTGCTTCTATTTTTGCTCTACTTGGGGAGTGGGGGGTTTTATTGTTTGTTCACTTAAATCTATGGACATTTCACTGACCTCTCTTTTGTCTATGTGAGCAGTGTTATTTCTTATGTGCTATACAAATAGTTGAAGGTTAATTAGCAGAATAAGTATAAATAGTAATGCTGCCAGTCCTTCAGACAAAAAATTTTATGAAGTGTTTAAAGATTAGATTAGCAGCGTGTGTTTATCTACAAATACATTTTATTTTATTTTACAAAACTATGATTTCAGAAGTGAATAGTATAACGTGATGGTTCATAGCATAGAATTTGGAATTAATTGATTTCAGCATCAGCAGTGTCCTGTTAAGATAACTCATCTGAACTTTACTTTTTTCTTCTCCTTTGAACAATTTGTAAAATTTCCCAGGGCTGTCATGAGATTCTGCATACCAAGTCCTAAATAAAAGGCAGCTATTATTATTAACCTTGTGTTTTTTATGCAGGTGGCACAGATTTATCAGAGCATTGAATTTTCTCGTTTGACTTCTCTGGTTCCTTTTGTTGATGCTTTCCAACTGGAACGGGCCATAGTAGATGCAGCCAGGCACTGCGACCTGCAGGTATATACTGTAAGGGAGGGGATATTGAGGTGGGCATTTGAGAACTAGAATGACCAGCTGCTTTTGTGTCTCTGCTTTTGTTACTGTGGCATCTTTTTAAATTTCACTTATTCTCATTCATAGCTTTGGTACTTAACATTCTTTCCATTTCTCTCTGAAATTCAGTTGAAATTGTTTTAATCGAGCCATTTGTAGAAAGACAATGTTAACACATAGATTTAACTGCTTGGTACTGTTTTAAAAGGTTCGTATCGACCATACTTCTCGGACCTTGAGTTTTGGATCTGACTTGAATTATGCTACTCGAGAAGATGCCCCAATTGGTCCTCACCTGCAGAGCATGCCATCAGAACAGATAAGAAATCAGCTGACAGCCATGTCTTCAGTTCTTGCAAAAGCACTTGAAGTCATCAAGCCAGCTCACATACTGGTAGGCATCTTCAGGGGGAACGGTTCACAGAAGTTGTTCTTTTTTTTGAAGCACAACATTGATTTGCACATCTTACCTATACGTAACGGTGACACTCATCATAGGGGATTTGCATGATATATCCCACTGCTTCCTTTCTTCCCGTTCTCCTCTCCCTTCCCTCCTTTCCCTCCCTATACACAAAAGCTTTGCTTCCATTTTTTCTTCTATTTTCCACTTTTATCACCCCACCGTTCCTCTTTCCATTGGTTCACAGGTTTTGAGGGACTGCTATACCATGTCTTTCACAAAACAGCATGGGATGATAGCTGAGAGAAGGGAGACTTGTACTAGGTCATTTTGTCAGTTTATGAAGTACGTTTAGGAGATACTCAGATCACTGAATTTTTTTTCTGTGGCACAAAATAGTACACAACACAGGCAATGTAACAGTGGGTGATAATTGTATAAAACCACACACTGCACACATCATGCCCCTTAGAATAGTGATATATTATGAATGGGCTTTTTCTTCTTGCTTACATTATTGTTTGGCTGTTAATATTCTTCCTTATCTTGAGCGCTTACCGCTGATTTGGTGCAGAGATGTTGGCTCAGCAGGTGAAGTTGGTTCTTTTAACTGTCATTGCTATTGAAAGACAAGTGGTGCTACATTGCTAGAAAAGATTAGGTAATACTGTTTTTTTGTTACAAAATGCAAATACACTGAAGGGTAGTGCATTAGAATTATTTTGTAATGCCTTTGATGTCTAATACCATTGTATATTGCTTTCAGTTATGTTTTAAAATGCTTTTATTTTTGAAGCAAGAGAAAGAAGAACAGCATCAGTTGGCAGTTACTGCGTATCTTAAAAATTCACGAAAAGAGCATCAGCGTATCCTGGCTCGCCGTCAGACAATTGAGGAAAGGAAGGAGCGACTTGAAAGCCTGAATATTCAGCGTGAGAAAGAAGAATTGGAGCAGAGGGAAGCTGAACTCCAGAAAGTACGGAAGGCTGAAGAAGAGAGGTTACGCCAGGAGGCAAAGGAGAGAGAGAAGGAGCGGATCTTACAGGAACATGAGCAAATCAAAAAGAAAACTGTACGTGAGCGTTTGGAGCAAATCAAGAAAACAGAGCTGGGTGCGAAAGCATTCAAAGATATTGATATTGAGGTATGTAGCATAGAACTGTTTTATCCAAGTCTCTTTAGAACATAGTCTTTTTTTGAGGGATGGGGGGTTTGAGACAGGGTCTCACTATGTAGTTGAGATTGACCTGGAACTCACTATGTAGCCCAGGCTGGTCTCAAATTCACATCGATCCTCCTTCCTCAGCCTCCTGAGTACTGGGATTATAGGTGTGCCGCCACCATGCCCGGCCTAGAATATAGTCTTTTGACTCAGTCTATAAGCATTCGGTTTTAGTTGCTCTGTATTTAGCTTTTAACCACTAATTTTCATCATAGTGGTAGAATTTAAGTAGATGTGGACTGGACAAGTGAGAACTAGAACTAAGGCTATTAAGCTGGGTGTGGTGGCTCAGGGCTATCTGTACTCCCAGCACTTGGACAGCTGAGACAGAATTGCTGTGAGTTTGAGGTCAACCTCAGGTACATAGACCCTGTCTCAAAACAAAACAAAACAAAAACCAAAAAAAAACCCCAGGTGTCGTACAGTAGCTTTATATTTCCTAATTGGCACCGAAAGAACACACCCCAGAAGAAACAGTTATCAAACACTTAATTTAGGATTGATTCTAGACAGCAGTGATCTCTGTTCACTGTTCGGTATATTACTAACAAGGATGTATTTGTATTTCCTTCCAGGACCTTGAAGAATTAGATCCAGATTTCATCATGGCTAAACAAGTTGAACAACTAGAGAAAGAAAAGAAGGAACTTCAAGAACGCTTAAAGAATCAGGAAAAGAAGGTAAATGAAAGGATCAGTGAACTTTTAGCATAAAAGATGAGTTAAAAGATATCTTTTTTAAAAGTGCCATATGTTATGTCATTCAGATTGACTATTTTGAAAGAGCTAAACGTTTAGAAGAAATTCCTTTGATAAAGAGTGCTTATGAGGAACAGAGAATTAAAGATATGGATCTGTGGGAACAACAAGAAGAAGAAAGAGTAAGTTTTAAATTTATTTATTTTTTAGCTTTGAGTTTATTGGTACATTTTAGGGATACAGTACAGTTACATTCAGTAAGTTTTTAATTTAAATGTACTTTTGACTGTAAACTGGATTAAATTATTTACTATTAGTGAAACCAGAGTTTCAAAATTGATTGCCAAAAATGATGTTTTAATAGCTGCTTACTAACAGATTGGTGGAAAGATAGAAATTTTCACAATAGAAATTAAATATAACACAAAGCACAACTAGAAAGCTTATTTTAAAAATACATTTTAAATGGATTAATTGTATGGAATAAATGTATAATTCATAGTTTCTTCTTGATTGACAGAATCGTGCAGCAATCCCGACAATCTTAATTTAGCAGTACCGCCTAGTCTCCATTTCCGTCCTACCACTTTAGCCCTAGGCAGCCACTAATCTATCTACTTTTTGTCTCTAGATTTATTGTTCCTGATTTCCTATAAATGTTGTGATGGTTGCTGTGACTAGATAGCTCACTCTGGAGTTTGTTGGTTTATATAATTTCTTTTTGTGCTGGGGATTTGGTCTGTACAGTTTTTATCTTCTGGTACAAAAACAGGGTTTGCAAATGTTTATAGTGGCCAGCTATGTAGTAAAACGGAGTGAACTGATTCTCATTAAAAAAAAAAAAAAAACAAAAAAACCCCAGCAAGCTGGACGTGGTGGCGCATGCCTGTAATCCCAGCACTCGGGAGGCCAAGGCAGGAGGATCGCTGTGAGTTTGAGACGAGCCTGGGCTACATAGTGAGTTCAGGTGAGTCCCAACTATGTAGTGAGACCCTCTCTCAAAAAACAAAAGAAAACAAAAAAACCCAGCAAGAGAGCAAACACCTGTGGGAAAGTATTTCAGGTGTCACTCATGGGACTAAATAAAATGTATATGTTATAGATGCCCCAGAACTACCATATTGTCTCTTGTGTCTGTCATCGTAGGGAACCTCCTGTGGTATGGCAAGATGGAATGTGGGAAAGTATCTTCTAATTTTTAAAGAATATCTGCTAGTAAATTGGGGATAATCAACAAGAAACTCTTTGAAATTTAACTGTGTATTATATACTTGCAGATTACCACTATGCAGCTAGAACGGGAAAAGGCTCTTGAACATAAGAATCGAATGTCACGAATGCTTGAAGACAGAGATTTATTTGTGATGCGACTCAAAGCCGCCCGGCAGTCTGTATATGAGGTGAACTTACTGGTTTTAGAGAAAGTTTGTGAGCTTTTTAGTTTTACCTTAAGTAATCCCTCTTTTAATATATTGGTGTGTTTTGTCTTGGCTTACATGTCTAATTAGTCGTATTTTAATGGAATTTTTGGGGAAATACTTTATAAGCAATATAGTAGACCAATTGATAAATTTTTCTAAAGGTGACAGTTGCTTGGCTTAGTCTCCTTTGGTATGAGCTTTTGTTTGCTGTTTAATTCTGAAGTGAAAAAACTAGACACATGTATATTTGTGTTAAATTCTAATTACTTTCTTATAAAGACAGACCCACTGAGTTTAGATAATATCAACAATCTAAATGTCTCCCCTTTACTCCCAGGTACTGGGGATTGAACCCAAAGAATACTATCTCGACTCTCTTTTTTATTTTGAGACAGGGTCTTGCTGTGTTCCCCTGGCTGGGTACGAACTTGCCATCCTCCTGCCTCAGCCTCCTGAGCAGTGTATATCACTTCACCTGGCTCTGACAAGCTACATTTAAAAAAATTTGGCATACTCATTCATTTGGAAATTCTGATTTTTTAAATTGGAGGGTTATTTCTGTGGATCCAAGAGATTTGTGAGTCTTTACCCCTAATTTGTGTCTTTTGAGTAATTTTTATGTTTTTGGTGATGATGGCAGGAAAAACTTAAGCAGTTTGAAGAAAGATTAGCAGAAGAAAGGCACAATCGCTTGGAGGAACGTAAGAGGCAACGTAAAGAAGAACGCAGAATAACTTACTATAGAGAAAAAGAAGAGGAGGAGCAGAGGAGGGCAGAAGAACAAATGATAAAAGGTGACTG